GTTATATTTGCTTAGCCTTGACACATTGCTGCAAATACAATCCAAGCAATATTATCAAATTGGTCCATTGCTGAAAATAGAAGATTACTATTTGGGTCAATTGTCATACCAGACCAGGACAACCCAACTCAAAATGTATTGCTTTCAGCAAACCACCAGGAAAGTGCAATTTTCACAAACTCCTAATGCTGAACAAGAAAAAAAAATTAAATAATAAAAATTGTTTCTCACCCACCACTCTCATCACGAAGCTTGAAAAGGGAGAAACCAGAGACTCCTCCCACATGCACCAAATAGCTAGCTAGAATATTTTTGCAATGAATCAAATGGCCAAAAAGCAGAAAATTGTGCTTGTTCCCACAAAAACATGGAATATCCGAAGCAGCTTGCATTCCCTCATTGCAATCCTTGTGACTACTGTACTAGTTGCGGCTGTTTATCTAACCCTAGATGGTGGACTGCAACTGTTGTATCAAGATTATTGTCATATAACAACCACACTGGAAACTTCAGCAGCAGCCGCAGCTAGGGGAAAACCCTAAATTGCCAAGCAGCAGCAGATGCAATTTGTTTTCAGGGAAATGGGTTTTCGACAACCAGTCTTATCCTCTGTACAAGGAGAAACAGTGCACTTATATGTCAGACCAATTGGCTTGTGAGAAGTTTGGGAGAAAAGACTTGAACTATCAGAACTGGAGGTGGCAGCCTCACCAATGCGACCTCCCTAGGTCTCTCTCTCTCTCTCTCTCTCTCTCTCTCTCTCCCTCTCTTCTTATTATTCTGATAAGAACTTCGCTGCACCTGGGATGCCCCAGAGACAACATTCTTATAACCCAATAAAAACACATGATAATGCATGATTAACTTACAATAGGGATTCCAAGTGCAGGGAAGTTTCGATCTCCCTAAATTTTTCTTTAATTTAAAATATGGATTTTTACGTGTGTATAATTTTTTCGTTTTCTTGGGCAGCTGGATAATGAGATTGTAATTTTAAATGGCTGTTTTTTGAGTTTTGTGGGATTGTGTTCATGTAAAATTACATAAGCTAGGTTCAACGCGACAGCGTTGCTTGAGAGGCTGAGGAATAAGAGGCTTGTGTTTGTTGGGGACTCGTTGAATAGAGGTCAATGGGTTTCTATGGTATGCCTGGTTGACTCAGCCATCAGTCCAAAGCTCAAATCGGTGCAGACAAAATTCAATGGCTCCTTGCACATCTTCAAGGCCACTGTGAGTTTTCTTTTCTTTTCTCTTCTCTAATTATAACCCATTTATTTGGGCTTGGCTTGGTGTTTCTTTATTTGGGCTTTGTTTGGTTTTTCCTTTAGCTTGGCTTATGTGTAATTGGCAAACTTAAGCTCAAACAATAGAAGTTAACGTCAGTCGCCCACATACGTGCGTTGACTTTTTGTATTATTGATCACGTGTAGCGTCCGATCAACAACCAAAAACTCCCACACGGAAAACCTTTGTATGATACATTACACTAACAATAGTAGCTACAACTAAACATTGACGATTTCTAATCATTGACATGCGTAGCTTGGATCCAATCAACTGTCAGAAATTGTCCACGCGAAATTCTTGACATGATATATGTTACATTGATAATAGTAGCTAATGTTAGTCGCCTATGCATATGTGTTGATCACATATGATCATTGATCATGTATAGCTTGTATACCATCAACGGTAAAAAATCAACCACACGAAAACCTTGAAATAATATGTTATTGAACTGTTAATCAAGATCAACCTATTTAAACACGATTCATCTGAAAACACAACATACTAGTTCAGAAGAATACACACTACTTAGCCAAAACCCAAATAAGATAACATTTCCATTGCATGTATTTCACCAACTTAGAAATAGATTAACAAAGAAGCAGAACCTTCTGCTGTCAGAATCCTTAGCTTGTCATGTTTTCTTTGTTTCATAGCTGTCAGAATCCAATATTATAATTCTGATCAAACTAACTAATCTTTGTTTTAATCAATGTGATTAAATTAAGGAATACAATGCCACAGTTGAGTTCTACTGGGCCCCATTGCTGGTGGAGTCAAACTCCGATGACCCAGTGAACCACCGATTGCCAGATCGGACTGTAAGAGTGCAGGCAATTGAAAAACATGCAAGGCACTGGACGGACGCCGACTTTCTTGTTTTCAATTCATATCTTTGGTGGAGAAGGGACCAAATGAATGTCTTGTAAGTAAAGTTTCTAAATACCAAAATCTTTTGGTGCTTCAAAGTATTTTATATTTCAACATTTTAATCATTAGATATCGATTATTTTATTTTTGACTCTCAAAATGTGAAATACCCCAGAGTTACTGAAAAATTATTGAGTAATATTAATACAATATTAGGTAGAAGTTAATTTTTTTGGATACAAATATTAGGTAGACGTTAGATAGAACTACTTATTTGACTTTGCAATTATATTTTAATTTAATTATTGTGAGTTTTGTTTTTGGTAATGATTGAAGGTGGGGATCTTTTGAGAGCTCAGACGCGATATACAAAGATGTTGAGATGTTTAGGGTTTATGAGATGGCTCTACATACGTGGTCGGATTGGTTGGAGATCCATGTCAATCGAACCAAGACCAAATTGTTTTTTGTTGGCATGTCACCCACTCACCAAAGGTATCAATAAGGTTTTTCCATTGAATATTATTATCAGTTTCACGTTTTTGGACCATATTGATTTTGAAAATATTTATAATACACAGCATCAACGTCATCTCATTTGAGATTAGTGGTCTAAAAATGAGACTCATTTAGCCTTTTTTCCCTATTTGTTTCTTAAGGTAATACATACAAATAAAACATGAAACAACTTGTAAAGAAAAAAACATATATAGAATTTTGTAGTTTTTACAAAGCTTTAATGAAAAATATAGAAAAATATATAACACATTTTAGTGTAAAATGTGTCTCTTTAGTTAAAAAATTTATATCCTATTTTCCAAATTTTAATTAAAAAAATAGAACTATACGAGACTAAGCAAACAATAAGCTTTACATAAGCTACGGTTTAGTGTTTCTTTAGTGCCCCTCTAGATCTACTTTTTTATTATTGAAACATTGTATTCAGTTCTATTTGTGCATATTCTCTATTTGTATGCCTAAATAAATTTATGATTACGTCGTATTTGTTAGTCTAATGGTACTTCTCTTTCCACTTAATGTCAAAAGACGTCCCAAATTAGAACCTTTACTCCTAACCCTAACAAAAAATAAATATATATGCAGTGCTGAAGAATGGGGTAGGGAAAGTGGTGAGAATTGCTACAATGAAACAAAGCCAATCACTGAGGAGGGATATTGGGGAAATGGATCAGATCCCAAAATGCTGCGTTTAGTTGAGAATGCCCTTGATGGACTGAAAGTAAGAGGTTTGGATGTTCAAATGCTCAACATAACACAACTCTCAGAATACAGGAAAGAAGGGCATCCATCAATTTACAGGAAGCAATGGGAGCCTCTGACTGAAGAACAAACATCAAACCCTAGCACTTTTGCAGATTGCATACACTGGTGCCTCCCTGGACTGCCTGACGTGTGGAATGAGATTCTCTATGCTTACATTTTCCAACAATGATAAGTTCTGTTTGGAAATAATAAGGTTCCAAACAGATCAAAACTTGTACCTTTTTTTTAAATGAATTAGTAAAAACCACGAATTGTGAATTAGGATTGAATGCAATAGTTATTGTGTTGAACACATCAAACCCATTGCCGCCATAAAGAATGTATAGGACGAGTTTTTATTGGGTGTCATAAAGTTTTTTTTTTTTTTTTTTTTTTAGCTATGTATTTCATCACGTGACAAGACTGTACAACAAAACCCCCTTGTAAATCGTTTAGGTTAATTTCATTGACGTGGGTTTTAAAGGAGACAATGATGTGGGTTTAAATTGCATGACAATGAACAATGTTGGTGTACTTAGCAAAGGAAGATAAAGGCATTTATGGGTTTCTGAACAATGATTTCAATGTCCAAAGCCTAACAAAGCCAAAGGGTTTCACTCAACTTTGCCCCTTATTTTGTCACGTACCTTGCTTACTGAATGTACTTTATAATTTCTCAAAAGAAAAAAAAGGTAAAAGTATGAATTGAGAAATTTGGCTTCGAAGACTTCTCGGTACATTTCGCTCTTTGTATCTTATAAATCATCCAATATGAAATTGAGAGAATGTCTACCCCCGGGTTGCACACTAAAATCCATAGGGAATAAAGGACCTATTATTTTAAGGGTTATTTGATAATTATTTTATTTTCTATTTTTTTTTTAACTGAAATCTTGTTTGGTAATTACTTTTAATTTTCAAAAAAAATGAAAACTAAAAATTAATTTCTTGAGTTTTCAATGGTTGGTTTTCAGTTTTCAGTTTTCATTTTTCGAAAAATCAAAAATTGAAAACGAAATAGTTATCAAACGGCCCCTGTAATATGTATAGTTTCCTGACTAGGAAACCAAAAATAATAATTTGAGCAATGGTCTCTTAACTTTAACTCAATTGAAATTTTGATTCCTAAACTAAAAATTCATGAATATGTGTCTGAAACCTATAATCATGTGGACCAATTGTCCTTTTAGTTAACTCCATTAGAATTTCCGTCCATTTTTTGCCCCCTTTAAAAATGCTTATAACCTTCTAATCCTTTTCGCAGGCTAATACTCACAGAATTTTATTGTAGGAAATTCCAATTGCGTCAAAATTCAAGAGCATTGGTCTAACTTTCTCTCTCAAAAGACAAACCACACTCATATAGAAGCTGATTAAAGTATTCATTAAAAAAAAGATTCTGGTTTAAGTGACATCATGTACTGTGAAATTCCAACAAATCTATAAAGTAAAGAGCAAACTTGTTCAACTTTAAAAATCCTAATTCCACAGACGACAAATCCAGCGGATAATTTTACCAAAACAGTCCAACTAATAAATTATTAGCTCCTTATTAATAATAAAACAATTAATTTTCTATTTACCCGCACGATTATTCATTAGTTTTCTTCTTCGTCTTCTCACTCTTCGGCAACGACTCCATCATTTCATACAGTCTCTGTCCCTTTTCATGCGATAATGATTGAACAAATTCGAATCCCCTTTTGATTTTTCTTTCCCTTTCAATTCTTCGGTCAATTAATTTCCCGAACCAAGCAAAAAGTCTTAATCTTTTTCACGATGCAGCAGTCGCAGAGGTGGAAGTGGAACAAGAAGAAAACCCATGTTCCTGCGCTGGTGTTCTTCTTCTTTCTGTTCATAGTTTTCTCGAATCTCCACAGCCAACGCAGAATTCTGCAAATTCAAGAGAGCCCTGATCGCGTTTATCACCGTCAAGATTCAGTCACTTTTGTAAAGCCAAATCTTTTCACCCAGCAAAACCATGCTCCAGGTAAGGCAGTGTTTGGTTCTGCCAAAAAAGCTTTCTGGGTTTGTTTTTTCTGCATTTCTTGAATCTTTATCTGAATTCTTGATCGATTTCTTTACTGGGTTTTTAAATTTAGCGGTTCTTTTTTGATTTGGCGAAGTGGGTTTAAGTTGGTTTTGTGAAATTTCAGAGGTTTTGGATAGATTCAGTACATGCAACTCCACCAGAGAGTACAGTGGTCAGAAAATTCTGTGGACTGACCGGACGCCGGAGTACGGTCACCGGAGAGAGAGTTTGGAGAGGTGTGATGTGTTTTCCGGCAAATGGGTGTTTGATAATGCATCGTATCCGCTGTACAAGGAGTCGGAGTGCCCTTACATGTCGGACCAGTTGGCCTGTCACAAGCATGGGAGGCCTGATTTGGGGTACCAATACTGGAGATGGCAACCCCACAATTGCAACTTGAAGAGGTAAAGAGGTGTTTTGTTGTTTGGGATTGGAAATTATAATCCCGCATTGTCTGTTCAATTGTTTTATACAGTAGAATTGGAAAAAGCACTTAGTTCCGATTCAGTTTAAAGCAACTTCTAGTTCAATATACTTGAATCCATGAACTGGAATTTGTTTTGCTCTTAATAAACTCATTGGAAAAATTGTGGACTTTGACTTGTAGAACAAGTATGGTATTTTTGGTTGTTTGAGGATGGAAAGGTTGAGCTGCCTTTTAATTTAATGTATGGTTTTATTGAAATTGTTTCCTTTTCTGTATAGATGGAATGTGACTGAAATGTGGGAGAAGTTGAGAGGCAAAAGGCTAATGTTTGTAGGGGATTCATTAAACCGAGGGCAATGGATATCAATGGTCTGTTTGTTACATTCTCTGATTCCTTCAGATAAGAGATCAATGTCACCGAACGCTAAACTTACTATTTTCAAAGCAGAGGTAAACAGAGTTTGCAATCTGGGAGTAAACTATTTGAGGTTGGTACAACTATGTACAATGCATTAGGCTGTTCTCTTATGACTAAGAGAAAATTTTGGAGTTTAGATCAAGGAATATCCTTAGGAAATAATTGAAAGTCGGTAATAATTGTCGTCATGAAATATTCAATTTTAGTTTTGACTTAAATTTTCAGTAGAATCAGTGGCAAGAGTGGAAGATATTTGGGTGCGGTTCCCTGCGGTAGGTGAGTGCATAAATTGAATTTGTGTCATTTTCAGGAATATAATGCTACTGTGGAATTTCTCTGGGCTCCGCTTCTTGTAGAATCTAATTCTGATGATCCAGTGAATCACCGAACATCCGATCGGATAATCCGACCAGATTCAGTTCTTAAGCATGCATCAATATGGGAGAATGCTGATATATTGATATTCAATTCCTACCTGTGGTGGAGACAAGGCCCAGTTAAGCTGATGTGAGTATAATTGCGATCCCATCCAGGTTTCAGTTTAGAAAGAACTGGGTTATATAGAAATTTGAATTGGTATCTAAATTGATCTGACTTCGAATTCATACAGATGGAGCGCGGAAGCAAACGGTGTTTGTGAAGAAGTAGACGGCCTTGGAGCCATGGAGTTGGCCATGGAGGCTTGGGCAGACTGGGCTTCTAAGGTCAATCCCCTCAAGAAGCAGGTCTTCTTCGTCACAATGTCTCCTACACATCTCTGGTTAGCATCTTGCCCTTCTACATATTCTTTTATTTACCACATTGGCTGTTATTTCTATAAAAATTTCAATTTTTGTAATAAATATAGGCTTCTTGGTACTTGAATGAGATAGTCAACTAGGCATTTCGAGGCACACACAGTCACTTCTGGACTTCTTGCTATATGCAATATTATGCAAAAATCTAATTCTTTAAAGATTTAGAGGTTCTCCACGAGTTAGACCTGTCAAAGATACTTGACCACAAAAGATCGTTTCCTTCTTTGTTTAATTAAAACAACAATGTCACTTCCACCCAGCCTTATGTGTTTAACTTGAACTGGAAAATAACAAGGAGAAAGCCAAAGAACCTCATTAATTAAAACAACAATGTCACTCCAAGCGCTCTGATAATGCAAACCTCATCAACTGAGTTAATTTAATTGAATAAATTCAATTCATGTATGAATAACTCCTAGTTACTTAAGTCCAAACGCATTTTACAAAGAAAGTCACCCTTTGAACCAAACGCTCGAATAATTGTACATTTGAATAACAACTGTGCTTACTTTTTCTAAGAAGTTTTCTCAATGCAAGTAGATGACTTCTAATTTTTTTTTTCTCGTGATTATTTTTGGTTTTGATCTCTATATACGCCACCTATCTATCAAAACTTCTTTCTAAATATGTTTGGGAAACCTATCCTTCAGATTTTGGAAATTGTTCGAAATTCAATTATATTTGTATCCTCATACTGCGGACAACATTAGTTGATGACCTGTGTATACAAAATCGTGGTATTAACCTAGTTCTAGTTGTACAGAGGACAATTTCATCATTTTTGGAAATTTCTTATATGATCTGCATGTATCTAATACATAATTTCCTGAATTTTTAGGAGTCGAGAATGGAAACAAGAAAGTGAAGGTAATTGTTACAGTGAGAAATCCCCCATCGACTTGGAGGGCTACTGGGGAAGTGGTTCTGACCTGCCTACCATGAGCATGGTGGAGACGGTCCTCAGCAAGTTGAGTTCCAAGGTTTCTGTTATCAACATTACCCAATTATCGGAGTATCGGAAAGATGGTCACCCTTCCATTTACCGCAAATTCTGGGAGCCACTGAAGCCTGAACAATTGTCTAACCCCACGAGTTACTCGGATTGCATACACTGGTGCTTGCCTGGTGTACCTGACGTATGGAACGAGTTGCTATTCCAATTCTTGTAAACGAACGTATAATTTTTTCGAGGCAATCTTAGTGGTTTCATACAACAGATTGCCTTGTCTTCTCAGCTCATGAGCATTGCGAACCGGACCGTCAACCGTCAATGCTTTTGTTACGTAATTCGATTCTTTGAAAATATAGTGCTTGTATTCACTTTGTATCTACTTTGTTCTTGCAATATTAGATCCATGCTTGCTGGGAATTATGATGTTAATTTTTGTTACTTTTGTCATCATACATGAATCTGGGTTGGGATTTGGCCCAATCCAAATAAGTTTAAGACCTAATGGTAAGTCCACATTGACACAGGCTCATGACCCGTTAACGGAAAGGAAATGATTTTTGCACTCGTTCTTCGATGCATTTCTTTTTTCTCTCTAGCGCTTGTATTAAATAAATCGAACGAGATAATTAGGCGACAAATAAAAGGAGAGGATCAATGCAAAATGAGAAAATGAGAGCGTGAAATTGATACGCTGAGAAATGGGAGAAATTTTTATTGTGACGGAAATACGGATGATATACGATATGTTTTCATGTAAGTGGTGAGAAATTTTATTTTTTAAGTTATTAATTTTTTAACACACAAATCTAATCATTTGTATAATGACATGTGATGTATCACCTTGTGTGCCGATCATACTGAGAAACCTCTCTGATAAAAGGGGCATTCATAGTATTTGATCAGCACTGACTCTGAGCAACTTGGGTTGAATGCAGATGGAACGGTTTCCAAAGTAAACTGGAGAGAGTCAGATGTGTGCTGTAGCTGCTGTAAGGGAGATAGCAACAAGGCCTTTTATGGCTTTATGAAGGGTTTGCAAACTCAATTCATTAATTGTTCATTTTGAATATTGAAAAAAATTCATAATTTAATCTTTATACATAATCACTAGTAAACTATACGTATAGGTAGATTTTGATGTTTTTGTGCCTACAATAGTTTAATGGCGTTTCATCTATACTTTGTGATGGGAACGAATCAAATTGAGGACAAGTTGGATTGAAAAAAAGTAAGAATTCAAATTCTTATTGAAGTTGTTTACTACGCTATTTAGATTTAGAGTATGAATGACACTGATTATATACAAGTTGTTTACGAATCCATCGTGAATTAAAATTGAAACAATTTTCATAATTTACCATCATCATTACCCATTGAGTGATACTTTTGACCTAATCAATACACTTGGTTCGTTATGTGGTGTAGCACCACTTCAAGGGTTTATGACACAATTTGGTTAGTATTTATAAATATTTGTACTTAAATACACTTTCATACCTAAAATTTGAAAAATTACTAGGAATTCAGAACTTTTTACTATGCACCACAACATGATATGAACCGGATTTGGACCGTTGAATTCTTTAGACTCTTTAACCCAACAAAAAAAGAATCAATTTTGACTCTATTTCTGTATGACATACACCGGAGCACTATAAAACTTTTGTGAATTTAAGGTACGGTATCTTTACTATGAAGTTAGTACACAGCTCATCAGTGTCTATATATACTAGGGAATCATATACATATACCTGTAATATGTTGTGGCCATTGGCTTTTGCGACTGCATGATTGCAATGCATTGCCTGCAGGGCCAGAGGCAGGATCTGTAGAGCCATTAACATCCCTCATTCATCACTTGACATCAAGATAGGGTGCCTGATCCGGTTATGCCGTTGGCTGCATTACTCAAGCCACGACAACAACACTGTGTACAACTATATTATAATATAATTGAACATGAGAGGTATCCCACCCACGATATATTCACGAATCCCTTATCCACATGGAGTAAGATTCTCTTTCCTTTTTTTTTTAATTTCCTCCTCTTCTAATTGAACGGTCACGGTTAAACCACGTCAACATCTTATGTTAATTTTTTATAGTAAAAAAAAGACAAAATAAGAGAATGTGAGATGAGGGAATGAAAGGGGATGGAAAGAGGATGGGAGATAATCCTAGTCCTATCCACAAATCTTGTAATGTACGAGATGGCCGCATATTTGTGATCCATGAGTTATATTGTACGCTAAAGTAGAATGTGTAACCTAAAATACATTCGTGTAAATTCAAACTCAAGTTGAGACTCATAACTCATTGCTCGCTTTCTAGTAGACAAACCCCTTGGGTTTTATATATGAGAATGCTAAAGAAACTCTCTCAAAAGTGAGATTCTCCGTGAGAGATTTTTCAATATATCAGAAACACAGAAACGGTATGCTATATGTCATTATGCAAGTTGAGGGAAGTTTTTTTTTCATATGTCTCTCCACTTATATAATGACATATGGCAAAAGTACTTGTGTTTTAGACACATTGAAAAATCTCTCCTCTGCATGGACTCATTGTAACCTCACCGTTTGATGTCAATTCTTGTACTTATATTATAAAACATTGTGCAAAAATCATGAGATGCTAGAGAGTCCATGAAAAAGTTCTAATTTTAAGGGAGTTCCTTAGAGTTTTTCTTACTATAGAGCAAGGTTCTAAAAGAGTTAGGCGCTAGTCGGGTGGCAGACTAGGGCCTAGCAGCTAGGTGATGGGCCGAGGCGGATTAGGCGAATTTAAGTGAACTTATTACATTTCGTATAAATAAGTGTATGTTTATACTTAAAACATTCGTAACAGTGTTAGGATACATAAATTACAAAATAAAATGACATATATATTATAAAATATTAGAACATAATGAAAACATGAGGAATAAACATATAATATGTGTTCATTTAAGTATTCAAAAGTCTTGTACAATTTATTGAAAAAAAATAAAGTGCAAAATGAAAGTTATCGATTTCTGTTTAAGTAAAAGTCGTGACCTATGCGGGTTTGGACGGGTTAGGCGGGCACATAAACAATCTAGGCGCGATGCCTAAGCAGGTCTAAGCACCATTTTTTTAATTTCAAATGCCTAGTAATTTATCGGTTGCTAACAAGTTGCCTAACGCCACCTAGTATTACACTTATCATCTATTTGTATCATCATATGTATCATGTCACTAACATAAATAAAGTTCACAAATATATATAGATCTCATTTTTATTAAAAATATAATACAAATAGACGATAAAAACAACATTTTTTCTATATTGTGCCAAAGAAAAAATGCGTCTGGGGCTGCTTGCGAATGGGCGGCAACAGAAATCTTGGGGTGTGGGGGCCGCGATATGATGATCACATTTATGCACAGGAAGGGCCCTGATCCCGTGGTTTGACTTATTGACTCGTTTGGGGTCATTTGGTTTGTCCGTTCCGCCGTGGAAGAAAGATCGATGATATCACTATTTACGGGATCAAGCAAAATATTGTCCTACTATATTACTCTCTCTCTCTCTGGGTATACTTTCAACGTGTGCCAGTTGCCTTGTCAAAGACTATGGAATTAACAAGTTTTGTTAGTTTTGATCACGTTTTGATTTATCTTAGCTAACTCACCTCGAAGAATGATGATCAAATTTGTCTCGTTTATCACGATTAGAGAAGAAAAATGTTGTGGTCAATCAATTACACTCACGCCAATTATTGGCTATTGATGTAAGTAACCTTTTTCACCTCAAAAGTTATCTATGTACAACTCTGTAATTATCGCTAGCATAATTCGTATTTGATTAATTAGTTAGTGAGACGATAGTATTAAGATAAGGCCAATAGTTGATTTAGGAAAATGGTGAACTGTATTGGAGTAAGACACAGTCCTTATCTCAACAGGAGGCAGTAGAACAAAAGAAGCAATGCCGGTACATAGGAAGTTAGCATCAATCATGTAGACGTTTTCCTGAATGATTGGGCGTTAAGGTCTTATGGTGACTGTAAACTCAAGTGTTTCAATCGTGTTAACTCAATACAAACATGAATCTAATTCTAATAGCCGGATCATGAGCTTGATCTATATGGCCCCAGTTTCCCACATTGATAGCCGATCAATGGTCCTGAGATGGCCACCACAACCACTGTTTTCCTCACTAACACGAGCTCACTCGCATAAAACTCATCATTTTACTGACAAACTCATGGGCCTAATGATTTGTTTAAGACAACCTTTATAACGAGAGGGACACTTGTAACTTAATTAGGAGCAGATTATTGCAATTTGCTTAAAAAAACAATAAGCTAATGATGATATGGTAAGGATGAAAGTGGGACACGTGGTGAAAAGGGTTTAATTAGCTCAAATTAGAAGAGAAAAAACATGTTTTAATCTTGCAGTTTTTGTTTGGTCCAATCAAAAACTAGAAGGTGAGAGGTATCTTTCAGTTGTATCGCATTAGATATGGGAGGAGGAGTACTTAGAAGAAAATTAGCATAATTAAGATCAAATGTCTTCTCATAAGCTCACATTGTGTACAGAATCTAATCTAGCACAAAAGGACGTTTAAAACACAAAAGAAAGTTGTCAAATAAGTAGATACGTATCTCACTAGTGGTCAAGTCCCAACCCCCAAATCCAACTAAACAATGACCAAATGCATGTAAGAAAGAAAGATCCTCGGGTAGGGTCGGTAAGGGCAGAATCATTGTGTGGGCTGAGTGTGATCCTCCAATGATATTCATCTTCTCTGTAATGATATTCATCTTCTCTGCAATCGTTTCTTTAAGAAGACACACATCTCCAGCAAGCCAATCACACTTCAAATTTGCAAGTGCCTATAAATGTAGTAGTTGATATGAGTTATAAATCCTCATGAATTATAACGACCAACCACCTATGAGACACAAGGAAAAATATCAAGCTTAGAAATCAAAACTCATCACTCAAGGACATCATATACAAAAAAAAATTTAAATCCACAAAGGCGCAAGCAATCATGGTCCAAGTTAGTACATGGTGCCTATAAAAAATAATTGATCGCTAGAATTCAAGTCTCCTTTTTTATTTCAAACCAACAGCCATAGATTGACCTTCTTAGTAGAAGAGTATTGTGACATGAAAAACAATAGTGAAAATCTAGAGGGAGAGACACAAAGAGACCCCATGTATTAGTATTAAGCATATGAATATTAATGTGCATGCTTTCCTCTCTGTGTGAGAGCGAGAAAGGAGAAAGGAGAGAGAACAGTTTTCCATGGGGCTTACATCACAGTAATTAAGCAGTGGCCATTTACCATAAATATGTTCTTAGTTAGAGTAATAGCACTTAAAATATCCGCGGTGAAATTTGACTTTCTATAACAGGCTTTATATGTCCATGGCCAACCAGTC